AATTTTTTTTTTTTTTTTTTTTTTTTTTTTTTTTTAATTTCACGTGAAAATTAAAAAAAAATTATTAGTGGAAATTTTTAGAAACATTTTTTTAATGAAATTAAAATTAGCAGTCACTTAACAATTTTTTAATTTCATTTAACAAAAAAATGTCCCAAAAAATCATTTTAAAAAAAGTGAATTTTTTATTTTTTAAAATTTCTGCTTTTCAATATTTTTTTTGCCATAATTTATTTGTTATAGAATTTTTTAAATTATTAAATATATATGAAAATAAAGTTAGCCGACATTTCAGTATTTTTAGAAATTTTTTATTGAAAAAATTTCAATTAAACAATTAAAAAAAAAAATTTAAAAAACTATGAGTGCAATTTTTTAGAAATGTCTTTTTAGTTGTAATTTAATTAATAAAAAAAATCAAAAATTTTTAGACGTCTGCTAACTTCAGTATCATAAATATATGCTGAATTAATTTTCATATTTTTGACACCAAAATTAGCAGTCACTTAATTTTAATTTTATTTAACAAAAAAATGTCCCAAAAAAATCATTTAAAAAAAATTGAATTTTTTTTTAATTTCTACATTTCAATTTTTTTTTGCCATAATTTGTTATAGAATTTTAAAAATTATTAAATACATTCTAAATTAATTTTTATGACATTAAAATTAGCAGTCACTTAATTTTTTAATTTTATTTAACAAAAAAATATCCCAAAAAATAATTGAATTTTTTAAAATTTCTACATGTCAATTTTTTTTGTCATAATTTTTTTATTATATGTACAATTTTTTAATTTAATTAAATATATGCTAAATAAATATTCATATTTTTTTATAATAATTGATTTGTTAAAAAATAAAAAAAAATTGACAGCTCTCAGCTCACTACAGTATCATTGGAAAGTCTTAACATTTTTTTGTTATTTTTATACTGACTTTAATTTTGAAGGATGTTCAACAGGAGTTTTTTTCGCAGCCAAGTGTAAGTAACTTACTACCAGTGAAGGTACCTAAGTATATCTTTCTCACCATCGCTTTCTTTTAGAATATACATAAGTGTGTTGTCTTTATCGCTTCTGGCTCCTACCTGGCTGGCATCTTGTCAATAATAAATCTGGGGAAAGAAAATAAGTAGTGTAACAGAACTTTCAGTCACACCAAAACCAAAACACCAAGACGTCTACTTATCAAACTTACGGACGTTTACATGGATTCATATCTACAGTCTACAGTCTACAGTCTACATGATATCCGTATTCTGCTGTATATATTATTAAGTATAAGGCATCGCATATAATAGTAGATAGTAGATAGTGGAGACTGCGTCAGCGACTCAGCGCCAAGGTGTAAGTTTACTACGTCATAGTGGTAGTGGTGTCATACAACTCAAAACTCATATATACATGCCAGAGAAACAGAAGGACTTTACAGGGAATAAGGTTCGGATACCTTCGTCAGTACTCGTATCGCTCCGCCAGGGATCAAGATCGTCCCGGAGTCCAGTATAATGCCGATGAAGCAGTTCGCTGACTGCTGAACGCCTATGAGTATCGTCTGTGCTGTCGTTCTGACAAACTATATTATTTATTTTACTAATACTAAATATAACTAACAGTTGAGTGACAATTTTTTCAAAATTTTAATCATAAAAAAAATGTTTGTGTGATTTTTAATTAGTGCAGTATTTAAATAATTTTTCTGACATTTTTTAACTATAAATTTTATATTATTTATCACTTTCTTTCTTCAATAAAAGGTATTACTTTATCCAGGATATATAATATAAAAAGAGAGTAATCGATTCGTTCGAATGCTACGTGCGTAGGTGATTTTTATTATGATTTGGAATAAAATAAGTGACGCCCAAAAGTGTTAAATTTTTGCTGGTATTCCAAGTAAAGATGATGGGTGTTAAGATGCTGTCACAGACGC